ACCCAGCCACTCTTAGCAAGCGTTACCAGGGCCCTTTCACCACTCCAGCTCTTCACCCCGCGGGGTACCGCTCTCTCCGGCCCCTCCCCAAGATGCAAGTCTCCATCAGCGGGACCGTGACCCATGGCGTTTCAGCACGCAGCTCTGCAGCCGAGCTCCAGCCGCGCCGGCCTCGCCATCCCCGCAGCTCTCCCGATGGCACCAGCGTTACCCCAACACCCAAGCGGCTTTCTCCTGTGTTGACCTCCGCCCCGGACCAAATGCATTCCTTACACGGATGTTTACGACAAAACAGCAAGATGCTTATTATTTTTTTTCCCCTTTTTTTTTTTTAATACAAGAGCTGTGTATTTAAAAAATATACAATTTTTATTTTTAATTTCTACAGCATAACCCTGCAGGATATTTTTTGTAACGAACAGTGCAGGACCCTACCTAAACCAATCAATAAAACGTCCAAACTCCTACGCTGCCTTCGGAGCGGGGATCAGGTTGTGGGGCCTCTGCCATCGCTGCCGCCCCTGCTGCGGTGGCGCCAGGTCACCTCTTGTCCCCCGTCGCTGGGCCAGGGCGTTCGGAAAGGAGGGAGAGGTGGGAGAGGGACGCTGGCTCACGCACAGGCATCCCTGAAGGGATGCTTTTTTTTCCCCTCTCAGCGCTGAGGGTGCTGGCCTTCGACAGGTCATGTCCCCAGCACGTCTGGAGCCAGGGTCTCTGCAGCCAGGCCAACCCACTCAGCAGTCCCCTCGGGGACTGAGGTCCTGGTGTCCCCCCATCCCTCCCTCAACTGCTCTTCCCAGGCAGCCCCAAACTGTTTTCGCTGAACCGGTGAAGAAACAAAGGATGAGCTGGGCTCAGGAGTCCACCTCCCCGTCTGTGAGTATCCAGCACGCCCACTTCAGCATCGCCTTCGAGATCCTGCGAAACCAGACCGGAGGAGCCAGGGTGAGAAGGGACCCGGCTGGGGACATGCTGCCGCATGGCGGACGAGGACGAGGGGGTAAGGCAGAGTTTGGGGACCCGCTGCAGGGATGCAAGCAGCGACGCCCGCATCCCACGGGGCCAGCTGTGGGGGGAACAAGGGACAGCCGTACGAGGCCATCGCTGCACTGACCTGACAGACCTTATCCGCTCGCAGAGCTCGGGGCTTGGTGCCTCGTATCTGTACTGGACCAGCTTCTCCCTCACGTACTGCAGAAGCGAAGGGGGAGGGTGAGGCTGGTCTGCCCCAACCGCAAAACCCAGAGCACAGCCCCGCCACGCAGCCCGGGACCCCGGTACACCTAGGAAAACTCTGGAGTCTGTCCCTCAATCGTTTCCTGCTCTTCCAATCCTATTTTACCCGGAGAGCTGGAAGATGCTCCAGCAAGTGTTGGTTCCCAGCCAGCTCGGGCTCAACCCCACCTTCACCCAGTGCCCCAGATCCTCCTTCGGGAGGGTTAGGGCCAGCATCTACACCGCCACCCGCTTTCAACTCCCCATCCCCACCAGCCAGGTGAGGAAAGGCCTCGGGGATGGACGCCAGCGGTGGGAGGACACAGAGAACCTCCCCGGGGACCACCCCCCAGGGGACCCCACCAGCTGCTTCATCTTTACCGGCTGCAGAGCTCTGTGCTGCTCCAGACTGGAGCTGGGGCCGCTCACTGGGGATGCTTGCTTTTCCTCCTCCTCTTCCTCAGAGAGCTCCTTTCCGCGCCGCCGCTCCTCCTTTCTGCTCTTCTTCGTGCCCCATGTGCTCACGAGCTCCACCCTCCTACCTCCGCCTCTCCCCCTGCCCCACGGGGCACCTTGGGGATGCTGCTGCCCACCGAGGGCCGGCAGTGCCTGGCCATCTCCTGCCAGCAGCTTCCTCTTGGCACCCACAGCATCTCCTCCCTGGGTCCTGGCACGAGCTGGAGGGAAAGCTGTGCCACTGGAGTCCGCCTGCTCCCTGTGAGGCATCCCTTCGGGCAGGGATTGCAAGCGGCTGCTGGGCAAGACAGGAAAAGCCGGAGAAAGAGATGGCAGGGGGGCCTGAGAGCCCCCCGATACCTGCGGGCCTCGAGCAGGGCGGGGGGCATCACAGGATGCCTCCGCAGCTGATGTTGCCTGAGTGGTGCCGGTCTCCACCGGGCTGGTATTGCCATAGGAGTGGAGCAGGGAGGGAGAGGAGGTCTGCACCGGCTCTCCCTGCGGCAAGCCCTTGGGAGAATCTTGGCTGCAGGGTTCCAGCAAGTCAGGGGTGTTGCTGTCAGCAGCCACATCTTGGTGGGTCTTCGGTGAAAGGTCGTGTTGAAAGGTCCTCTCTGGTAAGAGAAAATGCATGGTGAGCTTGGGCAGGCGGCTGGTGGTGGGACCGGGAAGGTTGGGCAGGAGAGCGTCGGAGCTGGAACGATGCAGGCACAGGGCAATGGGAGCACTGCGGCACTACTTTTTGGCCAGGGGAAAGCAAGCCAGCATCCAGGATGAGCTACATGGTCACCCCGTGAGAGGAGTCGTCTCCTGCCAGCAAGGCAGGCTGGACGCCCTGGGGCATGGGGACTCACCATCTGAAGAGTTCAGGGTCAAAGATATTGGGGGGAGCCTGTTCCAGGGGTTGTCCAGGGATTCCTCCGAGCTCTCCGACAAGGCTGTTGACTCTGCGGCTGCAACAACGAAGTCAGGGGGTTGATTTTGGCAAAGAAAGCAGCTGCCCACTCCCAACCCTGCGGTGGCTACAAAGAACTGCGCGTGAGGTCTCGGACAGAGACGGCAGCCGAGGAGAGCTCCAAGAGCCCCTTCCAGCTGAAACTGGGGTGTACTCCAGCCAGACTCCGTCCACGACCTCAGCCAGCCCCTGTAGCAGGCAGCGGAGAGGCAGACGCTGCCCAGAGAGCAGGCAGGTGGGAGGAAGACCTTCTCCTACACCCTGCACTGTCCAGGACAGCAGCTCCCTTCATCTCCTCCCCTACGTGGAGCTCCTGCAGGTACTTCTGCAGCAAAGCCTGGCGACACCAAGCCCAGTGAGGTGACACAAGCCCATCCCGGTGCCGAACCACAGCCAGCCAAGAGCCCACACTCGGGCAGGCAACTCAGGCTCCGTGACGGCATCAAAGGGAGGACAAAACAACTCGTCGTGCTCCCAACAGCTCCTGCTCAGCTTCAGGAGGCTGCGGGAATGGGACCATTCCCTGCCCGCTCAAGGCAGGGCTGGGAGTCCTGGTCTCCCAAAGACCTGGCCGTGCCGGTACCTCCTCTGCTCGATCCAAGGAGAAGATGGGCTGAGCCAACTTCAGAGGAAAACACTACGAGGCTGGACGGGATCTGGAGGTCCCACTACTCACGGCTGGCTTGGGATACGACACTCAGGTCGCCTGGCACCGTCCTGTCATCGCTGCTCCTCCCGGGAGATGCTTCGCTTGTGTCTGCAATGAAAGGGGAGCTGCTGGTCACATCCCAGCACGGTGTGCAGTCAGAGCAAAGGAAGTCGTCTCCCCATCCCGGGGAGACCCTTGCTTCTTGTCCACCCGCCTACCCTGCAGACGAAGCCACCGTACTGACCTGCCTTGGAAGCACGGCAAGCAACTGCCTCCTCCTCAGGAGGGATCACCAGCGTGTTGGCTGGGACCGTGAAGACGCCCTCACCCCTCTGAAACGAGACGCATTACGTGGTTTTCACTGGGCAGTCCCACTCAAGCTGCGGGAGCCCACCCGTAACTGGTAGCTGAACACCATCTCCCCAGCGCACCTCCAGCTCTGCCCGCCGCTCGTCCCGTTCCTTCTCCCACCCAGAGCAGGGTCCCCACCATGAGCTGTCTCAGCGGCCAGGCTGACCTCTTTCTTGCGCTCTGCCTCCCACTGGGTGACGGGAACCTCGTCCGTCGCTGGCGTCTCCACGGGCATCCGTAAATCCAAGCATTCCTCAGCATTTTCCTTCAAAACCTCCAGCTGGTTCTGTCCTATGGCATCAATGAGCTGAGAGATGGATGGCTCTGGAGCGAGAACACATGAGTGTCAGTGGAGAAGACACCTTAATTCAGGCAAGCCTCACTTGCAAGTGCTTTTACTCTGCTGCATGACTGTCACGTGCACTGAAACCTGTGGAAACGCAAAACTCTGCACTTCCTTTGCTTCTAAGAACTAGCTTTCCCTTCTCCACACAGGTCCTGGAGCAGCAGCGTGAGCATGGGCGTGCCATGGCCCACGTTGCTTTAGCTGTCAGCACCATCTCATCCTGCTTCAGGCTTAGCAATGTTGCCTTGTGAGTTCTGGTCACGTTTGTGCTACCTCTCCCTAACGTAGACCAAGCCGAGAAGAACCAGGAGCCCCACCAAGCAGCCAGAGCATCGTGTGCCCCCCCCCAACCCTTTACCTGAGCTGGGAGCGTTCTTCAGAGCGAGACTCCTCCTGCAATGACCAAGGAGAAGACAAAGGACATTGGAACAGGCTGCCCAGGGAAGTGGTTGAGTCACCATCCCTGGAGGTATTTAAAAGACATGTAGATGAGGCGCTGAGGGACATGGTTTAGTGGGCGTGGTGGTGTTGGGTTGACGGTTGGACTCGATGATCTTAGAGGTCTCTTCCAACCTTAATGATTCTATGATTCTAAAGCCTGGTTACGGCTGGGACACACGCAGGCCAGCAGCCCTTTGCAGCTCTGGTTTGCAGATCGAGCACCCGGGCTTGGGAGAAGCAGCTCGTGGAAGCAGTGGATTCCCCACTGGGTGCCGGATCCGGCCACCGCTCAGTATCCCAGGACTACCCATCTGGGAGGCCCGTTCCTGGAGACGGACCGATGGAGACCCCTGAGGATCTCCAGAGTTGGGGCTACAAGCATGGAGCGGAGAATGAGCTGTGCAGGGCTTCACCTACCCGGCCACGCTGCCCACGGCTGGAAGAAGCAAGTTCTCCTCCCAGCTCAGAGGAAGAGGCTGGGTTGGAGAGCCCTCTGCGTCACCAGGGTCTCATGGTCTACTCTGCTCTGTCACGTCCTGGGGCAGGGAGTCCCACAGGTTAACCGGGAGCTGCCGTAGCCTGTGCCTGCCCTTGCCAGCCTGCTCTAACCCCACTCAGAGCCTGCGTGCTCTCCTCATGGTGTCTGGATCCGTTCCCCAGCAATGGCTAGCCCCATACTTACAGCCAGAGCTCCTTTATCTTCTGCAGCACAGAGGGCTCCTGGTTCCTGCAGCAAGAGAGAAGCCAGTTACCGATTCCCTCCGAACCCTCATCTTCCTTCAAAGCTTGCGAGGGAGAGCGCTCCTCTTTCAAAGAACTAAAAGTCCCCACCACAACCAGGTCACACCAGGACTCCCAGGGTCAGTGCCGCTCTGGGAAGATGAGGAAGCACCCTCCCC